GGAGTATCTGACAGACAAGCAATTTGTGGAGCAGTGAAAGATAAATCCCTCATTGTGGAGTTAACCATTAGTTACAGTGTTGAAAATCAGACTACAGCCTTGTAGATAAATTAATTACATCTCAACATCAAGAAAACAAAAAAATCATCACCACTGGATCAATAGGCAATACCATGAGAAATGAAATAAAGATTGAGGCGATCAGCAACTTCATTTTGCTTGGATCCACAATCAATACCTGTAGCTGCTGAAGCCAAAACATGTTGCATTGGGAAAATTAGCTGCCAAAGACCACTCCAAATTATTAAAGAGCAATGATGTTAGTTTAAAAATTACTCTTGGTCCAAGCCATAGTATTTTCAATTGCTTCTTCTGGAATGGTTGGACAATGAATGAAGACCAAAGACAAATCAATGCCTTTGAGCTGAGGTGTTGAAGAAGAGTACTGAATATTCCATGCACTTCCAAAAGAACAAACAAATCAGGCTTGGAGGGAGCACAACTAGAGAGCTCCTTCAAGGCAAAATCAGTGAAATTTCAGCTCATATACCTTGGGCAGGTTGTCAGAAAGGGCGAGTTCTTGGCAAAAGACATCATGTTGGGAAAGGTGAAGAGTCAGAGGAAGAGAAGGCCCTTAACAAGCTCAATTGTCACAGTGATTTTAACTATGGGCTTGAGCTTATCCGAGATCATGAGGATGGTGTAAGATAGGGTAGGGTCCCAATGTTCAGAGGGTTGCTAGGATGTCTAACAACAAAAGGTTATACTTACTTCCTCCTCTGCCTAGCCCACAGTTGGGGTGGAAAGGGAAGAGGATTTTATGTGTGTGTTTGTGTGTGTATGTATATATATGTGTATGTATATATATGTATATGTATGTATGTGTATGTATATATAAATAAATAAAATTACCAAGAAAATTAAAGGCATGTTCCACAGATTCCTGAGAGCCTACTAAATAATTCACCAGCATATGTAATACGGTAAAAAGGACCTTCTACCTCTCTAAAGTACTCAAGAGCAACGGTGTCTCTTTGGAGACGAAGGTGCGCCTGATACAGGCCATGGTCTTTGCAATCGCTTGTTATGCATCAGAGAGTTGGACAATGACTAGGGAGGATAGAAGAATTGACACCTTTGAGCTGTGGTGCTGGAGAAGAGTATTGAATGTACCATGGACTTCCAAGAAAACAAACAGATTCATCGTAGAGAGGATTAAACCAGGTACTCCTTGGAGGCAAGGATTCTGGGGCTTCATCTGACATACTTTGGACATGTTGTAAGGAAGGACCA